AAGCTATGGACCCAGTTCCTGGCGAATGAACATGCAGAAATTCTCAATAAAATTCTTGAAACACAATTGAAGAACATATTAAGAAAATCATGTACCATGACCAAGTCGTTTTCATTCCACTGATGCAAAGTTTCAAGTTACACAAATCAATAAGTAAGCTAAAGTCATGTAATTTTTTTTACAGATGCCAAAGCTACAATTGGAGAAAACACAGCCTCTTTAACAAATAGTGTTGGGAAAACTGGATATCCATATGGAGAAGAATAAAAATAGTTCCATATGGCTCACCTTGCAAAAACTATCAACTCTAAATTGGTCAAAGACCATAATATAAAACCTGAAACTCAGAAACTGTAAGAGGCAAAAGTACAGACTTTAAGATATAGTCATAGGCAAAGATTTTCTCAATACAATTCCAGCTGCTCAGGAAAAAGGCCAACAATTGGCAAACGGGGCCCCAATAGATTAAAAGTCTTGTGTAAAGCAAAAGAAACAGTTAAGTTAGTGAAAATAAAGCTAACAGTATATGAGAAACTCTTGGCAAAGTTTACATCTGATAGAGGATTAATATCTAGACTATGAAAAGAACCAAAAAAAACTAGTAACAAATCAAACAAATTAATAAATGGGCTAATGGAATTAACAGAGAGTTCTCTAAAGAGGAAATACAAACGAATGGCCAACAGGCATATTTTAAATGTTCAACCTCAGTAGCTGGTCTAGTTTGCTGTGACAAATGCCAAGGCCAAAGCAACTAGGGGAGGAAAGGATTTATTTGGCTTCTACTTCTGGGTCACAATCCATCACTAAGGGAGGTCAGGGAAAAAAACAAAAAACTCCAAACAAGAACCTGAAGGCAGGCCTGCTTGGTATTCCTCACAGTGTCACCTCTAACCAGGAAGCTCACTCCTAGCCAAGGATGTAAATAGAAACCATGGAGAAATGCTGCTTGGTGGCTGCCTTGCAAGCTCATGCTTAATTCCCTTTTTATACAGCCCAGAACCCTCTGCCCAGGGAATGGTTTCTCCCACAGTGAGCTGGGCACTCCTAAAATTAACAGTCAAGAAAACTCCCCACAGACTTATCCATACACCAACCTGATCTGGTAAATTCCTCAATTGAGACTCTCTTCTCAGGTAAATCTAGGCTGTGTCAAGTTGACTAAAGCTATTTAACACAATCTACTCCTTGTCAGTTAGGTACACAAACAAATCACTTTAACCCATAACCATTTATTCCCTGTCCCCAAGGTCTCATACTAATATTATATCACCATAAAAACAGTTCAACTTCTAAAATTCCTGTGGTATTTGAATTTTTTGAAGATCTTTACAGTCCAAGGTCTCTTTAAAAAAATCCGGTCTCTTAATCCTGGACTCCTGTAAAATCAAAAACAAAAATCCCTTATTCCAAAAGGAAAGAAGTAAGACATAGAAGCAGATAAAACAAAACCAAAATTCAGCAGTGTAACTGAAATCCTGTAGCTCAATGCCTAACATCTGGGACTCTTTCCTTCTGTAGTCTTCTAGTTTCAAAAGGTTTGAGCTGTCCCACTTCTCCAGCTCTGCCATCCTCAGCACACTCAGCTTGTCCTGTAGGCTCCGCTCCACCACTGCTGCTGTCCTTGGTGGACAAACCATGGTCCTGGTTTCTCCAATATCCTGGGGTCTCCATTACAATTGAGACTATACCCTCACCAATGGCATCTTCTGGTGTTTCCACAGGGACTCTGACCCTTCCACATGATGCCAAGCCTCAACTGCTCTTCATGATGTCTGCATGCCTTTAAAACCAGTACCAATAATTTTTACAGACTACTTGCCAAGTTCTGCTGTAACTCAGAAATGTAGCCTGGACCCCTGGGGCCAGCTCTGTGTGCTGACTCTGAGGAAATTCTTTCCTGTTTTTCCAATGAAGCACAGAGGATTTCACTCAATAGTGTTGATCTGTTATTAATCACAGCTGAGTCTTTATTCCCAGCCTGACCAGCAGCTCCCTAAGAAAATGAAACACAGGTTTCAGTCCCCGTGGTGTTGATTTATTGTTAATCACAGTTAATTCTTACAACCCCAGCTGATCATCATACACAGACTCTTAGTCAAAATACTACATGAATCACCCCTAAGCCCCATTCTATTAGAGTCCTTGTTTCGCTCTGAAACTTCATGAGCCAGACCCATACTGTCTGCATTTTTCTTCATGTCTTATCTTCCATGCTCCCACAAGAATGATCTGTTAAGCACCTCCCATAGCACTCTCTGGCTTCTTCGACTCAAAGTACCAAATATTTCCACAATCCTCCAAAAAAACAGTCAAAGGAATAAAGAGCCACACGGTCAGGTCCATTATACAAACACATCACGTTGCTGCTTTTAAGTTCTGTTCTAGTTCCAGTCTATTGATGGAACAAATACCACGACCAGGGAAACTTGGAGGAAAAGGATTTATTTGGCTTACACTTCCAGGCCAGAGTCCATCACTGAGGGAAGTCAGGGCAAGAATTCAAGACAAGAACCTGAAAGCAGACCCCTTTGCTGAGTATTTACCAAAGGATTCCAAGTCAATATGTCATAGCGACATCTGCACATTTATGTTTATTGAATCACTATTCACAAAGCTAAATTATGGAAACAACCTAGGTGTTCAACAACGGAGGCATGGATAAAGAAAATGTGGCTTATATACACAATGGAAATTGTCCATCCCTAAAGAAAAATGAAGTTATGTTGTTTGCCAGAAAACGGATGCAAGTAGAGATAATCATATTGATAGTAAACCAATTACAGAAAGATAAATATATTTCCCTCATTTGTTTTTCCTATATTTATATAAATATATAAAATCATATATACACATATATGACATGAATAGAGCAGTAAAACTGTTCAGAGGACAAAGAGGACCAGTAGGGAGAAGAGGGGATAGAAAAGAAAGGGTAAAGTGTATAAGGGGAAATCTGTTCAACATACTCTGTGTGTGTGTGTGTGTGTGTATGTGTGTGTGTGTGTGTGTGTGTGTGTGTGTGTGTGTGAAAGCTTGTAAAAATTAAGATAAAAGCAACGACGGGATTTTGAGATGGTCTCACTATGCAGCTCTGACTGGTCTCAAACACATGACCATCCTCTGGCCTCTGCCTTCCAATTGCTAGGATTATCGGTGTGTGCCACCATGCCCAACTGATGTCATTCATTCTTATGATGTCGTTATGAAGTTTAGGTTTGAAAATTATATACAACGCTCATCTATAACATGTCAATAGACAATATTGCATTTAAGAGTTTCATTATTTTTACCCATAGAGATGTTCAAACCCACTTGTTTCTTCGTTTAAGAGCTGATTAGCTTCTAGGACCCAGAACAATAATTCTTTTTTAAGGGGAAGATTATTTTATTTATTTAATTTATTTATTTATTTATTTATTTATTATTGTATGTGTGTATACATGTTGTGTGGGGGCACATGTGCTCCACACACAAGTGGTTGTCATAGGACGACTTTATAGAGTTAGTTCTCTCCTAACTGTATGTGGGTTCTGGAGCTCAAACTGGAATCGCCAGGCTTGTTAAGCAAGCATATTTATCTACTGAGCTATCTCATCGGCCCCAACAATGATTGTTCATAGACGTCAGGAGGGAAGGGGAAACTTGTGCACTCAGTGGAATGATGAAAGCTGAGGGCAACGTGATAATCAGGAGGATTTTCATATGGGACATCTTAGCTCTAAGAATCATGCTTACCCCCAAACCATATTTTTAATTGCTATTATATTAAATAAGAGATATAAAAAGAGTACAGGGGCCAGTGGCTTAGTAGGTAAACACACCCATACACACACACACACACACACACACACAACACACACACACACACATTAAACATTAAAATTCTTTTTTTTTTTAAAGAAAACAGTACATGCCTGCTAGAGGAGAGACAAGGTCCTGAGTTTACTAAGTCACTTTCCATGTTCTTCCATCCTGGAAACAAGGAGCACCTGTGCCTCCCAGCAGCCTCTGTGCTTGGCTGACACCTGTAACTGGAGTTAGGTAATAAACATGAACCAAAATAAGTAGCTTATGTCATTGCTGATTTGAGGCCATGAAAAGCCCTTGATTTTCCAGGTAAATTGCATAGCCTTGAGTTCAGCTGATAAAACCATAAAATCCAAGCACTGAAAATGAGTAAGCAATCACTAAAGAGATAAAGAGTCATTGCCACAAACAATAGACAGTATAATGGGGAAAAGGCAAAGCACTGTGACTGAGGCCAAAAGACTGTAAATATGAGGCTACACAACAAGGCCTTGTCTCAAAAAATCAGCCAAATTGATAAATCCTTGGACTGGTGATACAGCTCAGTAGTGGAGCTTGCTTAGTATGTATGAGGCCATAGGCAAAGGGAAACCAGTAAATTTTTCTCTTTAGATACTAGGCTGTTGGGCTTGCTGCAGAGAAAAACCAAGAAAGAACTTCCTTTAGATAAAATTTTGAAAACTTAGAAACAAGAGGTAGTTATGAAATGAAAATACTTAATTCATACCTATCCTTATTGGATTCTAAGGATTGAGGTAAAAAAAAAGAGAGAGACTTAGTGGTTAGAAGGCCAAGACTGAATTAGTAGGGAATGAAAACCAAGCTAGTACACAGCAAAACAAAACCATCTCTCCCTATGTGACTGGCTTTATTTATTTATTTTTTTATAGTGCAGCAGTGGAAGTTTATTTATGGATGTGGGGAGAACACGGCAAGGGCCCTTGGGCTGGCTAGCAAAGGGGCAATCAGCAGAGATTGAAAACACTACCCCCAGTCCAGTCAGGGAGGGATCAGGAGCCAGAGAGAGGGCAGCTCCAGGAGAGAAAGCCTGATGCCTGGGGTGGGAGTGCCAGGCCTCCAGGGAGAGACGATGTCAGAAATCTGAAGTAGTGTGTGGATGACCCCACCAAAACCCCACACTCAAAAGAAGTGGGGCCTCCATCACTGCCTAGAAACTGGCACCTCCTCAGCTGTACTCAAGACTACCTGCCCAGGCCCAGCAAGCCGACAGGCCTTGACGTCGACTGCCTTTGCACTAAGGCCCAGCAGCTCCTCATTCAGGGACCCTCAGCAGTGACAGCAGCTCCCTCTGTTCTCTGTGTAGAGCCTGCCACACCTGCTGACGGGTGAGCACTTGTTGCTGCAGCTCTTCCACCTGCCTGCGTCCTGCCAGGACAGCGCTGGCCAGTTCCTGGTTCTTGGCCTCCTGTTTCTGTACATGGTGCTGCAGGGTATCCCGCTGCTGCAGGAAGTAGGGTGCCATGGCACTGCACAGGTTCTTTTCTGGGATTCCACTAGGTCGCCAGGCTGGTTCCTTATGGTTTTTGCCTTCTTCTATAATCTTATCCAAAGAGTTCAAGACAGCTTCTAGATTCCCTTCCTCTTTAATTTCTGAGATCTCCTCCCGATGGATGTCTGCAACTGAGTTACAAACTTATCATAGACCCGCTGTGTCATCTGAGGCTGCAACTGGTGGAAGTGGTTGTAACAGTCCATGAGCCCTCATTGGGAGGGCTCTCTGAAAGTATTCTAAGAAATCAAGCCAGGTATGGTGGCTCATGTCTATACTTCCAGCACTCAGAAGGCTGGGCAAGGTGATTGTTGTGAGTTCAAGGCCAGCTTGAACTACACAGTGAGGTCTACCTCAAAAAATTAAGAAATAATAAGGGAGGGTAGGGAGAAGGAAGGGAGAGAGGGAGGATTCTAGGAAATCTAAAAGTAGCGAGTTACAGGACATTAAGCCAACCATAAAATTAAAAATGAAGATATTTGCAGCACAAGTCTTTGGAAAAGGCTTGTACCCAGAAGTTAGAAAGAAATCCTACAAATCAAACAGCATAAACTATGCAAATGTAGGTAAATGACATGTCTCAAAACAGTAAATTGAAAAGGCCAACAAAGAAAAGGATAGTCAAGATCATTGGTGTTAAGGTTCAGATAGCCCCGCCCCCTCACCAACAGGGTCTCAAGGACTTCTCAAGCTCCTGAGAAAAGGGAACTGAGTTGATAAGCACCTTGGTCTTTGAAGTCAAGAGAAGCAGACTTTTCTCCACTGTTTGGCCAACATAGCAGGCTTCCCCTTTGATCTCTGAAGAGTTTTAACAGTCTCGCTCTCCCACTTCCCCCCCTCACCCAACTTTAAAAAGAATACATTTTCCTGCCTTCTGCAGGAAGCAGAAGCCTCCCCCTTTAAAAGACCCCAGCTCACGACCTGAGGCAAACAAGTGGTGTACATACCATATACCACTCATCAAAGAAGCTTCTTTTTGCAATATATGGAGGCTATGACAGAGTTCCACAACTGGTCACACACACAGAATAAATGTCTGAGAGGTACCCAGTCCTAATAAACTCTATTCCGATGGAGTTTTATCTGTGTCCTGGTGCTTTCTCCTGATCAACTGGATCCATCCATAGGCTACTTTTTAACCTATCAATTAGTCATCATGGAAATGAAATTAAAATAATTTAGATGCACTTGAAAAATGTAGGCACACACTGAAAGGGCAGGAGTTACTCTACAGAGATGTTTCTGCTATCCTTGAAGTGGTATTTATTCAAGCCTAATCGAAAACCAAGACAGGGGCCTGCAGAGATGGCTCAGCGGTTAAGAGCACTGACTGCTCTTGCAGAGGACCCTGGTTCAATTCCCAGCACCCACATGGTGGCTACAAACCGTCCTTAACTCCAGTTCCAGGGGAATCCAATGCCCTTTTTTGACCTCTATGTCATTGCGTGACACAGTGCACTCACATACATACAGGCAATACACTCATGCACATAAAATAAAAATAATAAATAAAATACGAAAAAGAAAACAAAGATAGTACACGAGTATATTCATATGGTAATTTTGTCAAGCTATAGAATTTAAATCTATGCACTGTAGTATAGACAAGGTATGCATTTAAAGAAAAGTGAGTTAGCTAATTTAAATAAATGTATTAATTCTTTAGCTAGGGTTATCTTAGAAACAAGAGAAAAGCATCCTGTGGTAGACAGGATTCTTGCCAATAAAGAAAATTTTTATTTCTTCAGTTAAATTTGGCAGTAACTGGCCTTCATGGTCTAACACTCCAGGCCAGTCAGCTGCTGCAGTCCCAGACTCTGGGCTAGGACATGGGCCCCCATGACTCTGGCACCAAACCATCCATGAGCCCTGGCTCTTGAATAACTGCTGCAGAACTAGACTCCAGGCCCGTCCCCATGAGCCAAGACCCAGGTGTGCGACAGTCAACCCAGGTCCATTCTATATTCCCCAAATGGCTTTTGCAGTTCCAAGCTTCAGGCCAGCTAATGTTGATACAAGATCCACGATACAGGTCCATCTTCATGGATCACAATGCCTGGTTGGCTCCCACAGACCCAGACACCAAGCCTGTCTTCCTCCCAACCCTAGACACCAAGTAACCCAATCACACGTGGCCTACTCACAATCTTGGGATGGGTTAACAGATGAAGGGCTCTAAATGTTGCAGTTTGTCTACAGACTAGATCTATCTACCCATTCAAATACACAGATGCCAAAGCAAGGCTATAAGGATCACAAATAATCACAAAGTAACAAAATAGATGTCAATAACCGATCGCAGAGAAATAAAGATTGCTAACATTCCTGACAAAGGAGTCAAAATAATCATAAGGAAGTTCAATGAACTAAAAAGCACAAATATGTAAAGTGAGGAAAACTATGCACAAACAGAATGAAAGGTTCAAAAAGACAGAAACACGAATTGAAAGAATCAAATACAAACTCCACATTTAGCATACAGTAAGAGATTTCATTTGTCTAGAGTTATGACAGAAGGTTTTCTCTGACATCTATTCCTCTTTGTCCATGTGTATTTGACTATGGATCCTTGTATTTACAAACAAGTGGTGTACATACCATATACCACTCATCAAAGAAGCTTCTTTTTGCAATATATGGAGGCTATGACAGAGTTCCACAACTGGTCACACACACAGAATAAATGTCTGAGAGGTGCCCAGTCCTAAGTGACGCATCTAGAACAGAACCTCTCTACCCAAGTCTCATGGAACGCAGCAGAACAGTGAAGCTGCCTCATACAACAGAGTGCAATGCACACAGAAGGCCACAACTGGCCAAATATTAGAGAATAAGAGACTGTAGAGTGTGTGCCCGTGGATAGGACTCCTATATTCAACCTCACCCACCCATGGCTCAGGAACCAATGTAGAAGTGGGGGCAGAAAGATTGTGAGAGCCAGGGTTGGTACATGAACGTAAGAAAACAGAGGATCTCAGGCCTTTGGAAACTTGCTCATATGAACTTGCAACAAGGATGACAACATACACAAGGCCCATGCCGACTCAATAAGACACAAACCGAGCATAGAACTGGAGAAAAGGGCAGCAGGCCCCAACCTTAGTCAAGGAACTATTGGCAACTGATAACTTCAGGATGAGGGAGAGTTGATCCTCTTCAGGGGAGTGACCCTTGATAGACTGATTAGACTTCAGTGAATGAACTTGCACTGAGGGACATCTGGGAGCAGAAACTTGACTCAATGGGCCTTAACATATAGGACAGAATGCATGAAATTTGTTGGGGGGTACATATAGGGGAAGGGGTCTTAATTTGATTAAGAGCTAATATACAAAATGCACAAAAACAATAAAATATACATAATATAAATTCCAGAGTTAAAGAACTCGGTGATTAAACAAAAATGTCATAAAGTTTTCAACAGATTCAGTCAAGCAGAGGAAAGAGTCACTGATCTTGGAGAGGGATCATTTGAAATCATTCAGTTGAAAAGTTGACAAGATGGCTCCACAGATAAAATGCTTGCTGCTAAGCCTGTCAACCTGAGTTCAATCCCCAGAACCCACACAGTAAAAGGAAACAACTGATTCCTACAAGTTGCCCTCAGACCTGCACACATGCATAAATACCACTAAAACTCAAGCGCACCACACACACACACACACACACACACACACACACACACGCCACAGACAAATAAATGAATGAATGAAAAAAAATTTTAAAGAAGGATGAAAATGAGTGGAAGATTTATGGAAAGTATAATAAACCATCAAGCAAGCCAATATTGACACTGTGGAAGTGATAGAATGAGAGGCGAGGAAAGTTATTTGCCTGGTCATGAGTCAGTGATAGAGTGCTTGTCTAGTATGTGCAAGGTCCTAGGTTTTATCCAAGTTCCTTACAAAAAGTGAATTAGTGAATGAATGAAGGCTGAGAGGTAACTCAGTGATAGAGCACTTTCCTGGTGCATGCAAAGCCCTGGTTACAATCCTAGTCAAGGAAGGATGGAAGGAGGAAAAGAAAGAAGAAAGAGAAGAAGAAAAGAGAGAGGGAGGAAGAGAATGAGGGAGAAGAGGAAAGAAAGGACAGGGCATAGTGGTGTTTTCCCATCATCCCACTACATGAGAGGCTGAGACAGGAGAATTGCTCATTGGAGACCAGCTTAGGCTATATAGCTCAACCTTGTCAATAAATACATAAATGGTGAGAAACTTCTCAAATCTGGAGAAGGAAACAAGCATGAAGATTAGTGAAGATTCATGAAGTCCAAAGAACTCAAATAGATGAAAAAAAAAATTTTTAATGTGTGTATGAGTATATTCCTGCATGTACGTAAGTGCACCCGTGTTGTGCAATACCCTCAGAGGTCAGAAGAGGGTAACTCCCTGGAGATGGAGTTACAGATGGTTGTTAGCCACCATGTGGGTGCTGGGAATTGTACCTGGGTCCTTGCAAGAGCAGCGAGTGCCCTTAACTACTGAGCCATCTCTCCAGCCCCATAAACAAAATATATTTAAAAAAGAAATGTTAAAGGACATTCTGTTACTTATTTTGTTTGTTGTGTTGTGTCAAGACAGGATCTTGCTCTTTTTAACTGCATATATTTGTTTATTGGGGAGGGGAGGCACTTGGGCACGTGCATGCCATAACACACACATGCAGGTCACAGAACAGTTTGTGGAAGTTTGTTCTCTACCAACTCAAGGACCAAATTCAGGTCCTTAGTCTTGGTGACAACTGTCTTTGCATGCTGAGCCATCTTGCCAATCCCTTGTCCCAAACTTGATCCTTTTCCCTCAGCCTCTCCAGTGCTTTACGGGCATGGATCACTACTTCCAGCTGCTGAAGGAAATTCTTCAAGTTGAAATAAAGTATTCTATCAACACTAAAATAAGAGAAACTATAAAAGTATCCAGTAAAATTCCAAATGCAGTCAGACTACAGTGGTAGCGCACAAATCACCCTCAGCTCAGTAAAATACCAAGTACTGCCAAGCATGGTGGTGAATAACTGAAGGGATATCCACTTGGGAGATGGAGGTAGGAAAATAAGAAATTCAAAGTCATCCTTGGCTACATGGTGAGTTTGAGACCAGCCTGGGCAATTTGAGATCTTCAAAAACAAGTAATAGGGGATGGAGAGATAGCTCAGTAGTTAAGAGCAGTTACTGGTCTTCCAGAGGACCCAGCTTCAGTTCCCAGCA